ATTCTTTTGAAGACAGTCTTTTTCCCAGAGATGGTGCTGGATAAGTTGGCGGTTCATTCCGCTGTGGCGACCCTAGATTAATAAAGGGACTAAGCCGACAAGAAAATGAATGAATAATTGAATGCAGAAAATATTTTTGTCTTATTTTGGCTAGAATAAAAAGTTAAAAAAAAATTTTAAACACCATTTTAAAGACAAAATTATTAACCTCTTTAAGCTATATTTGTTTTCGATAGTCTACAGAACAAACCATCGTTATACAATAACTAATTAACCTAACCTGCCTAGTTAACCTAATTAACCTAGTTAAGCTTTTAAATGTCACTTTAAGCTGTATAGAAGTGTCTTGAAAAATGTCTAGTCAAATGTTATTTACTGTCATCATGGCAAAGATAAAATAAATCAGTTATTAGAAATGAGTTATTAAAACTATTATATTTAGAAATGTGCTGCAACAAAATCTTCAGGGGGCTAATAATTCTGACTCTAACTGTATATACATGTTGGACCGATTAGAATTGATTATACAAAAAATACAGTGGGGTCAGTTCGGATGTAGCACAGTGCTTAGTAAATGATCTACTTTTTAGTAAATACACAGTTAAACAATATTCTAATTATGAGCGTTAATGTTAAGCTAATATTATGCCAACTCGTGACAAATTAAACAATGCATGGGAAAGGGCTTTGGTTGCCGTGTTAGTTGCGGTGCACTATGCAACAAGCTATTGTAAACAAGCTAATGTTAACAAGATAAGTAATATTTTAATCGCTAGTATAGCAAATTCATGGGAAATTACATCAGTAATCAGCGTTTTTATCGCAAATGAGTCAACTACAACTACATTAAAGAGAATCACTTCAATGAAAGTGACACTTGTATTAAATCTAATGCCAATTCATAGATTTTTAGTAGTTTAATTTAAAAAAATAAGATATTTTTGCAATTAAGCATACATTTTTAATATTTAAGAAACATCGTAGGTGTGACTGTGTTTTCCCAAAGTGGAACATGCTGAAAGTACGGCTCGCAAATGCAGTGCTGATATGCAGGGCTGATCAGCCCTTTACAGTTCACTCATTGAACATGGGAACATGGCCATCGCTCAATAATACAGACGGATATATTGATTCACCTATAAGAGCTACAGCATTAAAACGACAAAGTGCTGAGCTGTGGGAAACCAAACCACTCGAATATTCCGCAAACCTCAGTTGCACCATTAATATCTTTTTATCTGTATTTAATGGTTACGCATTTTTATAATCTGCCATTACTCTGTGCAGGTAATGTGTTATAACTTATGAAACACCCACTTCCAATATTCATGTAGAAATCTTCGAGCGTTGCTTAGTAAATGAGCTACCAGAGAATTTGATGATACATCAAAAAACACAAAAAAATACATTTATTTTATCTACAAAGTAAAACACAAATGTGCTAACCATAGCATAACTATCACAGAACGCTCTTTAAGGTTACCATATAGTTTCTATTTAGTTTTAAGAACCAAACAAGAGAGAAAGAACGCTCTAGGAACCCATTTAGAAATCTAATATACTGTATGGCAATATATTTAATTCATTCATTTTCTTTTCAGCTTAGTCCCTTTATTAATCTGGGGTTGCCACAGCGAAATGACTTATCCAGCACGTTTTTACGCAGCGGATGCCCTTCCAGTCGCAACCCATCTCTGGGAAACATCCACACACACTCATTCATACTCATACACTACGGACAATTTAGCCTACCCAACTCACCTGTACCGCATGTCTTTGGACTGTGGGGGAAACCGTAGCACCCAGAGGAAACCCACACAAACGCAGGGAGAACATGCAAACTCCACACAGAAACGCCAACTGACCCAGCGACCTTCTTGCTGTGAGGCGACAGCACTACCTACTGCGCCACCGCAATATACTTCATATATGACATAAAAGTTCATATTTGGATTTCACATGTGTAAAATATGTCATAAAGGAAACATATTTAAAAATATTGGAAAAATAGCTGTTTACATATATATTTTTCCAATCATTTGGTTCTATAGCCTGTATTAGATATATAATTTTCATAAACGGCCATATATAAACATATATACACATAGCTAATACATTTGAACATATATGCACATATTTGTAATATCAATGGTTGAAAAATATATATGTAAACAGATATTTTTTGCAATATTTTGGCAGAGCCTGTATCATCCAAATTAGAACTTGTATGTCATATATTTAATTTGCATATATTGCCATATATTGTACCTACAAAATTTTTAAATGGGAACATTCTTTGTAGGCTATTATTATTATTATTTTAGTAACCAAAAATGAATCTTAATGAAACGTGTTGGGGAGGTTTTTAAGCTACAACTAAAAGACAACCAAGAGAACATTCCGGAAACGTTCTTCTAACCTAGAGGAATTGCTCTATTCACGTAAAGAAAATAAAAAAAATCCTGATAACCTATAATATACACTCTGGGAACATTTGCAAACCACAAATTAACGTTCCAATAAAATCCACAGAGGATTTCTCAACACACATGAACTCTCCACTAGTCCCTGATAATAAATAAAGCCATAAAATGACTCCAACTTGCTTCAACACACCTGTGATGGTTATAGAAAGCGGGGTGCCCAACGGTCCTGCAAAGTTTTGTTCCCCAATCCGACACACCTGGGCTAGCTAATCAAGAAATGTCCTGGCAGGTGTGTTGAGGCAAGTTGAAGCTAAACTGCAGGACATCGATCGGCTCTCCAGGAACGAGTTTGGGCACTCCTAGCTAGCCCAGGCGTGTCTGAAACTTGCAGGGCACATCTCTGATATTAATAACACTAACTTTAGTGCCATCTGTTGGTTTAATGAAGCAAATTCATCCTTTCTCTTCCCAAACGCTGTTACAATTTTTAACTGATGGCAGTTTGTTTTTTAAACCTTCACAGAAAAACTATACATTATGACCGTCTGTCAGCCTTGGATTTCTTTACTAAACCAAGTTTGAGTTATTTAATAATCGATGTTATATTGTGGATAATCGATGTTGTATTGTGGATGGGAGTTCCAGAGGAGATGCAAATGGATTTTCATTCCGCAACAGTGATCAAGTTAATGATAAGCGCTTACATTCTGCAGCATGAGCAGGTGAGGACGATGACTGGAGTAAATGGACATACTGTAAAAACGATGATGATAATGATGCATGAATGTCCCACAAACTCACCGCGTACAGACATTCCTGAAACACCGTGTCCCGGTCCGGACGGGAATCTGATTAGAGAATCGGTTCCAGCCCGTACGGCGATGATGACGCGCACGAGCATGAGCTTATCTTTAAAGAGCTAGAATAGGCTATTGTTAGACCACGTCATTTGTAATTGTATTATACAGATTTTATACATCCAAAGGTCAGAATAAACATTAATATTACACCATTATTTTTTAAATATTAAAGTAACTTGCATTTATTGTTTTCTTTTCTATTAAAATCACTTTAATGAATGTATTTTGGTGCATATTTGACTAAGTCAACATAGAATCAAAATTATTTTTTTTTACAGCTGTTCACATTAATTTAATATTTATGTCTATATAATTTCAGCTGTTATTTTTTTCACCCCTGACTTTTTTTGCTTTCAGGGACTTTGATGTGGAGGCTGAAGTATGAGAAGGAGCGCTATCCTGCTGAAGAATTTGCCCTCTCCTGTGGTTTGTAATGTAATGGGTGTGTGCGAGAGATCAGCAGAGTGGATACCTCAGGCTGTTGATGTTGCCATCCACTCTGCTGACCTCTCGCACGCCCCCATACTGAATGTAACCCCAAACCATGATTTTTCCTTCACCAAACATGATTGATTTCTGTGAGAATCTTGGGTCCATGTGGGTTCCAATATGTCTTCTGCAGTATTTGTGATGATTAGGATGCAGTTTAACAAATTCATGCATGGGAAAACTTTACTTTCTGCCACTTTTACAAATGATCAACTAGAGGTCAAGTTATTGTTGCTTTTACCACTGGTATTGACTACAAGACTTTTGTTAGGTAGTGAATGTTTAAAGGCTTGTGATAGCATTTACATACTGCAACCCTCTGATGATATGAAGAGTTTTTGTTTTGTTTTTTTTGTATTTTTATGTCACTTTGGATGAAAGCGTCTGCTAAGTGAGTCAATTTAAATTTAAAATATGATTCCTGTGGTCTTACTTATAAAATGTTGTGTAGAAACCTTCCTAAAAATGAATGTTTGACAAAATAACTGTTGGCAGGAAGGGCATCCGCTGCATAAACCAAACGCAAGAGTAGTTGGTGGGTTATTCTGCCATGGTGATCCCTGATAAATCAGGACCTAAAGTGAAGGAAAATGAATGAAATAATGTCTCATATGATGATTTAAAATGGTTCAATGAAGTCAATATTTCGGTTAAGTGTTTTTTACTTAGATTTTACTTACAGCTGCAGACATTCTCCTATCAAGTTTGTTTTTTTAGATGACAACTTTTTGCATAGGAAGTTACGTACACACAGTTCCACCCTCATTTTGTGTTTCCTCCATATTATACATTTAAAAATAAAAAAATAATAATAATAATTAAAAGGCGACACAATGGCTGTGGTTAGCACTGTCAATTCTGAGCAGGAAGGTCGCTAGTTCGAATCCCAGCTGGACAAGTTGGCAATTCTGTGTGGAGTGTGCATGTTCTCAACTTGTTAGTGTGGGTTTCCGGATTCCCCCAGTCCAAAGACATGCACTATAGGTGAATTGAATAAACTAAATCATTCGTAGTGTATATGTGTGTGAGAATAAGTGTATGGATGTTTCCCAATGTGTAAAAAAAAAAAAAAAAAAAAAAAAAAAACATATGCTGGAATAGTTGGCGGTTCATTCTGCTGTGGCAAGCTTTGAAATAGAGACCAAGCCAAAGGAAAATAAATGAATGAATAATGAAAAAAAATTTAACATAGGAAGAATAAATCGCACAGCAAAACCATCCAAAATCTGAAGAAAGCAAAGGTTTTAATTGGGACGGAGTGAAGGGAAGTAAAGAAAGTCAAAGGCAACAACAAACCTCATTAGAGAGATTCACTATAGCCCAGCAGAATCGAGCAACTGAGATCACATGACATTTCATCCCTAAAATGATACCCGATGAAAGCCGTCGTCTAAAAAGTGTCGCATAGTGACACCATGGCAGTGGATTCAACAGTAGATTCCTCCTGACAGCTGAAAGAGCTACATCTGTATAAATAATGGGTATAAAGCAGTAAAGCAGAACAGTGATAGGGTCAAAGCAGATGAATTACATACTTAGAAAAATTAAAGAGAAAGAGCAGAATCTTTTTACATTGTTTTACAAGCTTTCTTTAAAAAATAAAATGAACCATTAAACTAAAGACCAATTTTCTTAGGCAAATAAAACAAAATAATGAGGTTATTGAGTGTAACCAATTGCTGCATTTAAAATAAGGCATCACAAATTTCCCCATAAATAAAAAGCAAAAAAAAAATTTAAACGTAATGGCAGATTGGATTGAAATTTGCTTTCTTCTGCTGCATATGAACAAATATGACCTTGCATGCATTTCACACCAGACATCACTACTGTTTTTACTGTACATTTGTATGTATATATACATATATATATATATACACATCGTTCTTGGTATAAAATGTGCATGATCAAGAATAACATAAAAAAGACGCACTGTTTTTCTTTATGAAACACCAATGCATTTGCCATGATGATAAATCCTTTGGTTGTCAAAGAAAAAACTATTTAAAAGACAGACGTTTAGGTTTCCCCCACATGTAAAATGGAAAAACAGACACGAGTGTGCAAGTCTTGACAATGAACACAAATGGTGACACAATGCCGGCTTCAACAGGATAGTTCACCCAAAACATTGAGCCACATTCAGTCACAAACCTGTTTTTGTTTTCCTGTTGAACACTAAAGAAGATATTTAGAAAAATGCTGAAAACCTATTTAGTCAATTGTATTTGTTTTTCCTAAGTTTACAGGTTTCAACCATTTCGGTTTGGGATTTTGGGTGAACAATCCCTTTTAAACACACTTTTATGGATGGAAGATGAAAGGTAATGTTCGAGACACAGAAATCCAAACCCTGTAAAGACCAAGCCACCATAGATTTTGAAAAAAGCCCTGAAAGCAATCTCTCTGAAATTAAAATGAAAATCCCAACCCCCGTTTCAAGCTGTGCCCTTTCTCTGCCAAATGTACAGTGTGTGCATTTAGCACAGCATGTCCTTTACAAAGAGCAGATGAAGAATCAGCCTGATGAATAACACTATTGCTGGTAGAATTCCATACTGACACAAAATGCAATTGTATAACGGTATCCCCTGTAAGGAAGCAGATAAACTAACCTAGATGATCATTTCTGAGCTTTAAAAGGAATATTTCATGCAAAAAATAAAACAAAACATTCTCTTTTCTATACAAAAATGGGAATTTTTACTACCAAGCACCACAAAAGAGATCCTGTGCATTATATTCCAAGCCTTTTTTAAGAAACACTCCGCTTTGTTTGTTGAAAATAGGCTACTACAACTCTCCTTAAGTTAAACAGTTGAGTTTTACCATTTTTGTATTCATTTAGTCAATCTTGGGGTCTGACAGGAGCACTTTTAGCTTAGCTTAGCATAGATCATTGAATCAGATTAGACCATTAGCATCTCACTTAAATGACAAGAGTTTTGATCATTTAAAGCTGGACTCTTCTGAATTTACATTGTGTACTTGGACCAACAGAATCTGAGAAGTTGCTATTTTCTAGGCTGATATAGCTAGAAACTATGCTTTCATTCTGGCTTAATAAATCAAGCAACATTGCTGCAAGTGTAGTTACCAGCCATAATGACCTAAAAAATAGCAACAGTTCATTTTATGTCAGTGTTGCAATGAAATTACAGAAAAATCAAGCTGTAAATAGAAGAATTATCAAATCTCTTTGGCAATTTTGGGCGAGATGCTAATGGTCAAATCTGATTCAATATATGCTAAGCTAAGCTAAAAAGGTTATAAATTAAAAAAAATAGGCTCCTTTTACAACTCCCTAAAAGTTAAACAGTTGAGTTTTACATTTTTTAAATTCCAATCAGTCAATCTCCAGGTCTGACAGGAGCACTTTTAGCTTAGCTTAGCATAGATTATTAATTCAGATTAGACCATTAGCATCTTGCTTAAATGACAGAGTTTTGATAACTTTCCTATTTAAAGCTGGACTCTTCTGAAGTTACATTGTGCTATTGGACTGACAAAACATGAAAAGTTACGATTTTAGCTTTCATTCCGGCGTAATAATTTAAGAAACATTGCTGCGCGTCTAGTTTTTAGCCATAATGATCTAAAAAATAGCAAAAGTTCATTTTATGTCAGTGTTGCAACAAAATTACAGGAAAATCAAGTTTTAAATATCAAATCTCTTTAGTGACTTTTGAGCGAGATGCTAACGGTCTAATCCGATTCAATAATCAACGCTACACTAAAATAAAAAGGTTTTAAATTTATTAAATAACGCTCATTTTACATCTCCTCTAGATTTAAACAGTTTTAGTTTATCTGAGAGTTTTACCATTTTTGAATTCACTCAGCCAATCTCCAGGTCTGACAGGAGCACTTTTAGCTTAGCTTAACATAGATCATTAAATCAGATGAGACCATTAGCATCTCGCTTAAATGTCAAGAGTTTTGATGACTTTCCTATTTAAAGTTAGACTTTTCTGAAGTTACATTGTGCACTTGGACTGACAAAATTATGAAAAGTTACAATTTTAGCTTTCATCCTGGCGTAATAAATCAAGGAACATTGCTGTGAGTCTAGTTTCTAGCAATAATGAACAAATTCAAAATTTCAAATTCTTTAAATAGGAAAATTATCGAATATCTTTGGCCATTTTTGGGAGAGATGCTAATGGTCTAATCTGACTCCATGATCTATGCTAAGCTAAGCTAAAAGTGCTCTCGCTAGATCAAGAGATGGGCTAAATGGATTCAAAAGTCAACTGCTTAACTATAGGGCATATGTAAAAGGATCCTATCTAAATAATAATAAGTGAAGCGTTCCTTTAAAATCATCCAGTAGACTTAGAATAAAGTGCACAAAATGTAAGGTGCTTTTTGCGTCCATTTGCATTCATCCGTATTGCATGAAAAAGAGCGTCCAGGACATTCGTCTCTTTCACAGAGGAAAAATGAAGTTACATTTTAGGTGAACTATTCCTTTAAAACTATTTTTCTATAATAATCAGTAATAAATACATGATGATACAAGATGAAGGACACAGCTACTGTCTAGCTGAGACCAAGGCACACACACACATAACATATGTCAAGTTAAACAACTAAAATAGTTTGGAAACACTGTCGGGATCATGAAGGACAAACAGCTCTCTGCACCAGTGGAAACCGGTTTGAGTGCAAAATGTGCGCAGTCTCAAATCAATCCAGTCCGCATCGCATTTGGTTCAGTTCACTTTAAAAATAATACACCAAGAAAAGAAAAAAAACGAGAGAGGATTTTGGTTTTAAAAACTTGGTTTGTTTTCGGATACTCCAATTACTTAAAAGCTTCGAGTCCTGAGTTGATATAATTTTTCATTATAAAGGAACTTTTGTGTTTCTGCTCACAGACAGTTTTTTTTTCTCAGAAGAAGAACGACAGACTAAATTATCTAAAGTAATTGATACTGTATCTAAAGTATTTGATACTGCAAATGACAAACGATATTCATTAATTAAATATTTAACTTAACATGTCTTGACTTTTTTCCTTTAATTAATTGAATCAAACTGAAGTCATTTCTCACTTTTAGACCTAATTTGTGTGGCATTATCATCCTGTACTCGTGGAGTTTATATTTATATATATATATATATATATATATATATATATATATATAAATAACTAAATCCTCTCTCCGTGCTCCACATGGGCTGTTCAATGAGTTATAATTCACTCGTCCTGTTATAAACTGCTACACTCTGATGCCTTTAGAAAACAGCTTTCTCAGTCATAGTTACTGAAACATCCCAGAGAAAACACGAATGAAGCATCCTTGAATGTGATTCCCCCGCAGGCATCGTTCTGGATGAGTGCAGTTGGGTTAGTCGTTCTGTCATCCACCTCCTTTTATCTGTTTATTCGTCTGTTTGTGTCCGGAGTACAGTGTTGTGCGGATCATGGGGAGGTCGAGGCAGACGCATGAAACTTCACAAACGCAATCGCCGCCAGCTCTTTGCAGAACTCCTCCAAAACAATGACGCCTTCCAGCAAAGTCACATGATCGACACTGCAAGACAAAGATGAAGCTCTTCATTACTCAAAAACAAATAGATAGATCAAAAATCACAATGACTCAAAATTAAAGGGAGAGATCACCCAAAACTGAGAATATTGTCATCATTAACTTACTCTTCACTTCTGTTGTACACAAACGAAGATATTTAAAAGAATGCTGGAAATCTGTACCCATTGACTTCCATGGTATTTGTTTTTCCTACTGTGGATGTCAGTGGTTCCATGTTTTCAGCTTTTTTTGGTTGTCAAGATAACTTCCTTTGTGTTAAACAAAAGAAAGAAACTCATAAAGGTTAATAACAACTTGAGGATAAGTACATCTTAGGGTAAACTGTGCCTTTATTTATTTATTATTTTATTTATTGCCACTTTAGCAACTTATGGCTATTTTGTGGCAAAATGGACATACATAAATATTACATGATAAAAACAAATTCGTATTACACAAAAAAGTTACTTAGACAAATATATAAAATGTAAATAGATAAAATTCACACAAAAAAATGATTCAAAGTTAAATATGATTTTTCTGTTCAATTTAAATTTAAAAATAATTTAAGATTTTTCCTGGTGGTTCCTTTTTAAAAATGTCCATCAAAGTACTCTCCTTATAAAAAATTGTCTAATGGAATTTAAACTTCTACATTCCAACAAAGAAATGTTTTATGGTAAGAGCAGTCTGACAGTAATGAAATTTAGATGATTCTTCGTTATTCCATAAAAATAAATGTGTCAACCTAGAATGTCCAATTCAACATCTGTTATAGAGCGTCTGATCATGCCTGGTCTCAAAATTATAATTTGCTAAATGTCTTTCATTTATTTTCGGGCTAATTTTATGTTATTTATTATTTATGCAGTTGTCCCATTCCCTCTGCCATGATTTGTTTATGTACAAATTGATTGTAGGTTTCAAGTCCTCAGGAGGAATAAAAAATTCAATCACATTCAAGGAGATCTAGTATTGTCATTTTCTACATACATCTAAGCGACGTTTAGGTTGCCGATTTGTCATTGTTTATATGCTCAACAGAAAGGACTGTGATTGGCTGTGAAGGTCATCAGTTCACCGAACCCACTGCTGTTTACTGTATGTAACCACAGATACAGGGACACTGCAGTTTTTCAAAGTCACGTCTATCAGCTGGTTTGTCTGACATACGAGTGATCCGCTGATGAATCACGGCTTTAAAACACTCCAGTGTCCCTGGTTACATGCAGTAAACAGCAGTGAGTTCGGTGAACCGATGACCTTCACAGACAATCACAGTCATTTCTGTTGAGCACATGAACACAACAGTGAAAATAAGAGCTTTTTAAGAACGTGCACTCAAATGTTAGCAGGAAATGGACGTTTTTAAAATTTCAGTACTGATCAGTATTAAATTCCAGTATCGTGACAGACCTAACTCTAGTTATTGTTTTCTGAAGCAAAATATCACAATAGTGGGTGGGGACAACCAGCTCATTTCCATTTAAAGGCACATGCACCAAAACAGCTAGAATTGACCCTTTGCTAAGCCACACCCAAAAACCGCCACCCACCAATAGTGGCTTAGCAACCGTAGCTACGCACAGGGCCTCTGTCAAGCTTAAGAGCGAGAGGAAACAAGCCAAAGCGTTGTGCATATGAACAGTGCAAATCTGACAGCCGGTATCCTAAAAGTTTGGACGGGGTGGTGGAATTATTTCCCTTTTCAAAACCAAAAACCCAAGAGGAGAAATGCCAGCGTGGATCATGCTCTGTGAGGGGCGCTAAAGGAGCGGAGTTAGGTTGGTTTTGTTTTGATATTCCTGACACATTAAGTAATAAACCAACAGCAAAAACTAACACACCTCTTACCCTAAACAGATCTAAACTGTGTTTCCTACAAAAATACAAAGCAGGTTAGGTTCCCAGCTGTCTTTTTTTTTTTTTTTTTTTTATTTTTTTTTGCTCGATATTATGAGCACTGCTCCGTTTAAGCCTTCGCCATAGAAGTCCTACTAATAGCGAACAAACATACTGACAGTAATAGGTAACTTACTGTACATTGTTATGGGTCAATGATGCTAATATTTAGCACAAATCCATCAATTTCCCCTTTCTGGCTGTTCTTTCTGTAAATAATTATGTAGAAGCACTGTCCGTGCGTGTTTCCTCGTCAGTTAGTAACGCTATATTTCATTGCACAACAATAGTTTATCAGACTTTTTGGCTAAAACTAGAGAAATCACGGTTTATTAGTTATTATTAGATTATTTTTAAATTTCACATCTCCTGCTGTGCATGAACTAAGCTGTTGAATGGTTAGCATATGAGCTAGGCTAACCTAGCTTTAATTTTTATTGAATTATTCTCTAATCTGTCACCTACTATGTGGTGAATATACCCCTGTAATGCACACTGCAGTCCTTTTATATCTGGCTTTCTCAGATATCTCACCTGTTTGCCAAAAATGACTTATTATATCCCTGGCAATGTCTGACACCGGCGCATACACATTGTAAAAGATGTGCCAGGCATGAAAGCTTGACAGGCGTAGCAAGAGTAACTAAGGAGGGCGGGGCTTAGCGAAGGGTCAATTCCCTCTGACCCAAAAATTAACATTTTCAACAGAGAATAATAAATCACCTGATGGGTATTTTGTCATGAAACTTCACATTCTGGAAACACAAAATATGTATTTTACATCTTGTAAAAAGACCAAAATTGGAGTCTTTTAAATTTCTCTAAATTGATTTATCCACTTTTAATACTTTTTAAGACACCGCAGAGACCCTGCAGAAGTAGCAGACCATTAGTGTACATCTGAAATACTCATTTCAACATAATATGTATTGGGACACACTAATTCTAGTTTCAAATACTATTTAGGATGGATAGTATGCAAATTAAGAAGCAGCATTTGATCCATGTTGGAAAACTTTCCAAGAAAAATTTGCTCCCAGTTTTTGCGCAAGTTCCTATATAGACAACTAAGCCTTACCTCATCCCCTCTGGCTCTAGTCCCAGAAGTCTCTTCCTCACTAGCAGGAGTTTAGGAGTGAATTCAGGGATGCGATGAGTTCGCAGCATCAAATCTCCAACCACCTGATCAATCCAGCATAAAAACAATGCATTAAATACTGTGCAATGTGTCGAAATAACAACATTTGAGTTAACTAATCCAGTCAGAAATTGATTCATTTAAACCATCAAAACTTGGTCAAACTTTATTTTAATGCACAATTCACACTATTAACAAACTATTAACGAAGACTTTTAGCTCAATAGACTACTAATTAATAGTAAGATAGTATGATAAGGAATGTAAAATAAGATCATTCTATACAAGTACTAATAAACAGTTAATATATCAATAAAAAAAGCAGTTAATAATACAGTAGTAAATGGTTTGAATTGTTACTTAAACTAAGTGTTCAACCCAAACCTTCATTACATACAATAAACAATTAACACACAGTGTAACAGAATTAGTGCTGGGCAAAGATTAATCGTGATTAATCGCATCCAAAATAAAAGTTTGTTTTGACATAACATGTGTGTATTATGTATATTTATTCTGTGTATTCGATACACAAACACACAAAACAATTTTGTTACATAGAAACTTCAATTGATAAATAATTTGTATCCTAAACACGAACACTTTATATTTAAATATAAATAAATATGCTCAAATATATGCATGCATGCATGCATGTGTGCATTTATATATAAATAATATATGTATGTGTACTGTGTATGTTTATTATGTCAATGCAAGCTATTAATTTGGATGCCAAATGTTTGCCCAGCACTAAACAAAATATTTAAAGTCAATTAAAACATCAGGACACTGTGCTTGGAAACTGCAAAGCTAGGATTATTTGATTGGCACAAATTGTATTTTTAAAGTAGTGATTACAACCGTACCCTGACGATGACTGAGAAGAGCGACCTGCAGCCCGGCGCCAGGTTAATGTATGGGTCCAGCAGATACTCATGAAGATGAGCATGAGGCAAAAGAGACAGCTTAGACAACACCGACGTCACCTGCAGATTCACATCATACGGCTGGACGGACACAGAGAAAGAAACACATGAGGAGAGCACATGACTGACTGAACACATAAAAAAATGTGTAATCAATCTAAAGGGAGTCAATGAACCTAATGCAATATTAAAAGGAGTACATGCAACTTCTGTACTATTTTTAATGGACCCTTTTCTCATTTCCAGGTTTCTCAGTAGTGAAGTTGTCATAGTTGGGTAAAACTCCACGATTGTGTCATCAAGACTTTCAGAAAAAGGAAAAAAATAGTGTGAGACTGATAACGGCAGCCAGAAGAGAGAACAGTGTCAAATTTACTGCCCTGCCCATAGACCATTACAAATGTCTTACACAAGCGGCAATTCTTTTTTTGTAATTTGATACAAATATTATATAATACATAAATACATATAAACGCTCATTAGTTTTGTGAACATGGAAATATGAAAAAAAATTCAAGGATTTAAGATGCTGATGACCGTTAAAGGTATCATAACAGTCTTGTGAAAAGGGCCCATAGCAATATGACTGTATATAGAATTTAAAGGAAAATGCACAATGTTTACCTGATCAAGGATTCGTCCCATTCTGTCAAACAGCACTTTGAGGAAATGTCCTTCAAAAAAAGGACTGTCAAGATTACACTTCTCAAAGGGTTTTGGGGTGCTACGCCAGTCCCACTTCTGACAAATTCCACAGTAGTCCCGAAACTGTCAACATACAACCAAACATGTACATAACTGCAATAAAAAAAATGCTATGCCAAAGGAAAACATAATAACAAAATAAATAAAAAATAATTAAAATAAATAAAAAATAAACAAATGAAAAAATTTTTTTTTAAAAATATTTTAAGAAAAGAATAAAAAAATTAATAAAGGAATACATAAAACAAATAACTAAATAAATAGTTTAAAAAAACTGAATAAAAAAAAAAAAAAAAATATATATATATATATATATATATATATATATATATATATATTTACACACAAATAAAAAGTATAAAAGAAATGAAGAAAATAATAAAAAAAATAAAAGAAAAAATGAAAAAACAAATACTTAAATAAATAATAAAACATTACAACAAATAAAAAAATGCTACATAAATGCAATAAATAAAGGAATAAAAACTAATAAAAAATAAAAAAGGTATAAACAAATACAAAATAAAATAAATATTAATTAATAATAATAATAATAATAAAATAATAATAATATAAAAATAAATAAATGCATAAAAACATACAAGCATACTCAACAGCAGGAACATTATAATAGCAACACTTCTGAATCTTTAGATTATTTAAAAAAAACATTGATAAATTTTTTAATTATGAAAAATCATAAGAAATGTAAATGTAATTTATTACTTTTTATATTAATCTTATTTCAACTATATATTGCTATCATATAAAAAAAGAGCTAACATTCCAATAACTATATTATATTTCCTGCAATTGTTTCCTTTATTTTCTCCATAGCTCACCTGTCTGTGTGCATCCCTAAGGTAGGTGTCATAACCTGTGCCCTCGACCTGATACGATGACTTGGCCTCATCAGGCACCAAACACAGGAAGCTACCAGAGAATAATGCTAAATTATTATCCTGTCATCTGACGATTGTTATAAAATGATTCAACTGGCACATCACTGATACATCAGCATTATGCAATACCTGTTAACTATTTTGTGCACCTCCGTCTTCCCATCAGGCTTTGTGTGTTCTGTGCTTGCTGGTGGTGAACAACTTAACCAATCAGGGCTGGAGAGTCTGTTATCAGGAGAAAGATCTGAGAACAGTGGATCTTCCTCCAGATCTCTGTAGACAAAAATAAAACAAACAAACATAAATACACTCCAAAAGAAATTACGATTACTATTTGTTTAAACTACTTTACCAAAATGAGCTAAAACAATTCCTAAAATTTTTTTAAGGACAACATAATTGTTTTATGTTCATTCATTCTCCTTAGTCCCTTTATTCATCAGCGGAATGAACCGTCAACTTATCCAGCATATGTTTTACACAGCGGAAGCCCTTCCAGCTGCAACCCAGTACTGGGGAACACCCATACACACTCATTCACACACTAACACTATGGTCAATTCACCTATAGCGCATGTTTTTGGACTGTGGGGGGAACCAGAGCACCTGGAGGAAACCAACACCAACATGAGGAGAACAACTGACCCAGCAAGGACTCAAACCAGTGACCTTTTTGCTTTGAGGCGACAGTGCTAACCACTGAGCCACTGTTTCACCCTGTTTTATGTTCAATCCACTTAAATGTATAAAAAACTAATAAGCTAACTTAATTTCTTCGTGTTGTCCCAACACACATCGATTGTGGAACCCAGCATCAATTACATGCGTAAAAAAAACAAGAAAATGATATATAACATCATAACATGTCTATATTAAAGGGATGTTGGTATACATTTACTCCAGCGCAATATTAAAGTAATATAGCTTTGATACATTCCCATTTATTATAATGAGAGGCTACATATTCATGTTTGAGATATTTAATAAATTAACCTTATGTAAAACAAATATATTAATTAAACTATTTTAGAAATGCAATAGGCAACTTGAGCTCTTTCTCAGTACTGGATTGCAGCTGGAAGGGCATCCGCTGCGTAAAACGTGCTTGAATAGTTGGCGGTTCATTCCACTGTGGCGACCCCTGATAAATAAGAGACTAAGCCGAATGAAAATGAATGAACCCGAGCTCTCGCATTCCACTCCAGTAGTCATTCAGGACAAATTGAGTCAGGATAAATGTGCACCTTAAGTTTCTCAAAGAATTAATTGTTGTTGTGTTGTTCATTCATTTAAAGGTGAAGCATGTAATTTCAAAGGTTTTTCTGTATGGTTGTAAAATGTTGTTGTACTGCATGCTCAAAAGATGAGCACATCTTTATATTGTTAAAGAGATTCTGCTCACACACATGACTACATTATCAATTACATGGACATCAGTAACCAAATTATTTCCCTTAATCTGAATAAGACAATAATATAATTAAGGCAGGGGTGGCCAACCCTGTTCCCGGAGAGCCTCCTTCCTGCAGATTTCAGTTGCTACCCATATCAAACACACCTGAACCAATTAATTCGGACCTGAATACCATGGCTGCATCCGAAACCGCATACTTCCATACTATATAGTATGCTAAAATCAGTATGCGAGCCGAGTAGTATGTCCAAATTCATAGAATTCGAAAATCAGTATGCAGGAAGTACCCGGGTGACTTACTACTTCCTGCACTATCCCATAATGCCCCGCGAGAGAATTTATGAATGGAAGTGAAGCGACGCAACTGACGCAGGTAGGTCACATGACCATGACAAAATGGTGGATGTAGTACGTCCGAATTCCATTCATACTTTTCACATTCATATTGTATAGAACATACTTTTCTAACGGCCGAGCAGTATGTTTAAATTCAAATGCAGTACCTACTGAGTAGTAGGCGGTTTCAGACGCAGCCTACGTGATAATTACAGGCAGGTGTGTTTGATATGGGTTGCAAGTGAAATCTGCAGGAAGGTGGCTCTCCAGGAACAGGGTTGGCCACCCCTGGATTAAGGTGTTTACATGAGGTCCTTTTTGAATGTTCCTTTCATGATCCTGTTTTACATATTATAGCACAAAGTTCAATTAATGTCATTGCATCACCACAGTACCCATATTTCCTCTGGAGTGTCAAGTAATTTCGTAGTTTCATCTTTCAGGGTTTCTGCGGGGTCTTAAAAAGTCTTAAATCTCAAAATCCAATTTTTAGGCCTTAAAAAGTCAAAATTTACTGAAATATTGTGTTGTATGTCTTAAATCTTTTATTAACAGGTCTTAATTTTTGTGAGTGCTGAAGTTTGCGAATGTTGCGAATGTTAGTTGGAACGACGATTTGGGAAACTATGCTTGTAACGACGGACTTAATTAGCGAACTTAATTAGCTAACGATGGTTTTGGGAAACGCACCCCTGGACAGATTGTTGTGCATACATTCAGTTTATTCTAGTTTTTAAAACATTTAAAACATTTGTATATTTTTCTTTTTTAGGTTTATGTTAGAAAAAAAAAGTTTATAGATACAAGTATATATATAAATTAATAGGGCAAATAAAAATCTTTTCCATTTGGGCCATTTTAAAAAATCCTTAGCCTTTAGCCCTTTATGAGTGTAAAATTTCATTCATAATGGTCTAAATGTCTTAAAAAGTCTTAAATTTAACTTGGTGAAACCTGTAGAAACCCTGTTTTTAATTTGTTGACTTTAACTGCAGTTTGGCACTTTCACTTTCATTCAGGAACATTTCATGCATGCCCCCCCAGTCAAACAAGATATTGGATGCGAGTATGAACTGCTGGGGTGTTGTTTTATGGAATTTGATACTGCATGCTGTACGGCGAAAAAAAAAACCTCAGCATTTTATGATGTAGGTGTCTGCGGTGCTTTTTTGACTAAGTGCAGAAAATAGCATCAATATAGCGCCTATAGTGTATAGACTATCCTGTCGCAAAATGCTGCAAAAATCCTAGCAAGGAATCACTATTGAATATACTGGGGTAAAATAAATGTTCATATTATAAAGACATGGCAGGGAAAATGTAATTTAATGTAGCGCTTCTTGTACAATCTGAGACCCACTTTAGATTGGATATCACTTAGCCAGTGGAGATCGCTGATTTTTAAAGAAAACAGACCTTGAAAGCACCGATTTTGCAATGGCATACAGTTCACTGAAAGCGCGCAACCCAGGTTACTGGCAAATTAAGAGTCCTACTAGCATACTCTGGCATATACCCTATAGTCTGATTGCGGTGTTTACATGTCTGTACTGCACTTTAATAATGCAGCTTATATCAGCATACTGCACTTGTCTTAATTAAATTTCTGTTTAGTTTGATTATGACTTTGATAATGACATATGATTTATTAAGATTTGATGAGAAATATGTGGAAAAAGTTTGCAAACTTCTGATGTTTATACCTTCTAAATGTTATTTTAATTTCATTGGATCTTTAAAATAAAATGTATTTTAACATGATAATACATTTTGCACATATTGCAATTTTTTAAATCCCTTGGCAAAAACATTATTGCATTACAAGCATTAATTACTAATAACTTTAACTAATAACTAGTAAATAATGGTCTTTAGGCGACACAGTGGCGTAGTAGGTAGTGTTGTCGCGTCACAGCAAGAAGATCGCTGGTTCGAGTATCGGCTGGATCGGTTGGAATTTCGGTGTGGAGTTTGCATGTTCTTCCCGCGTTCGCGTGGGTTTACTCCAGGTGCTCCAGTTTCCCCCCCAGTCCGAAGACATGCAGTACAGGTGAATTGGGTAGGCTAAATTGTTCGTAGTGAATGAGAGTGTATGGGTGTTTCCCAGTGATGGGTTGCAGCTGGAATAGCATCCGCTGAGTAAAATATGTGCTGGATAAGTTGGCAGTTCATTCCTCTGTGGCGACCCCTGATAAATAAAGTGACTAAACCGAAAAGAAAATAAAGTTATTATGTATAAAAAGTTCACCTGCAGTTATACAGTATATAGGTGACGTCTATGTGTACATGTTTAATGAAGTGTAATTGTGTATTAAGTGTGTGTGTGTTGTCCTCGAAGCATCACTGTACAAAATGCAAAACATTTGACATGCATTGAGGTTTATTCATTGAGAAATTGCAGTTCATTAATGATTGAGCATTGAGCATTTACTAGAAGCATCAATCTGAAGCACAGCAGCTCTTACACGGCGTCATGCGGTTGGCCGTTCTCCATGTGCTCGCGCTCCTCTCGCTCCTCCTGCTGTTTGTTCTCGCTGTAATTTCTTTCTTCCAAGCAGCGCAGCACCAGGTTTTGAAGAATGTGCTGACATGGCTTCTGGAGCAGATGCTCAAAGAGTCGTAGGGTCATGATACTTATCTAAAAACGAGACAGAATCAGGACTTCAGGAAGGTCAAACATTGAAAACTGCTGGAGTTGGAGATGTATGGCGAGATAACTATCCAATAATATTCTTTTATAGGCATGATATAATATATACAGTTGTTATTTATTCATTCTAAATGTACATGAAAGTACAGTTCATATATTTTAAAAAAATTATTTATAGGAAAAGGTATAAATAAGAAAACAAATATTATACTCTGATTATATATATATATATATATATATATATATATATATATATATATATATATATATATATATATATATATATATATATATATATATATATATATATATATATATATATATATATACACACACACATACAACAGTTCTGTCTGGTTCTCAAATCTGATTGGCTGATAGCCGTGTGATATACATCTCCTCTTTACCCTTTGTGTATTTCATATCATATATCATATATATATATATAATATCAGCACTCATACAGCCTCTTCACCCTTGTGTATAACTCTGCCCACATGAATGGCAAGCAGAGAAAAGTTTGACAAATATTACAGCTGTTGGACAACATAGTGCACTTTTGAGGCTTATTTTAGGTGAGGATGTAGTTGTTTAGATTACAACTATGCCGTTTATTTATAAGGATAGTGCCTATTTTTAATATTTATAATTTCAGAGATTCTGTGCATTGGCAGCCAGCCTGGCAATGCAATAACGGTTGATGTTCCACCACATAAGACTGCATAATAAGTCCTTAGGGGTGAAAAAACAAATTTTTTTAGTGCACATGTCAAACTACGGCTGGACAAATCATTACAGAACAGGTAAGTGACATTCTTAGTCGATCTCTCTCTTTTATATGTTGTAGTTCTTCATTTATACCGTAGTAATCTGGTAGTGTTTGCTTTGCTCTGGCTTTTTTGGGGTTAATTATTGTAATCTCCCGATTTCAACAGAGAAATACTGGGAAATCTCTGTAGACTGATGGCATTTCATTGCTGCTCAGCCTTATAATCTTAAAATGTGAGCAAAATCACCTGTTTTGTCGTAATTTTAGACATTGCGCCAGAGAATCATTCAAATACTAGCTTTAAAGTGATGTGGGGAATGAGAAACGGTTTCTGCTGTTTTGACAATCAGTTGCAGATATGAATGAACCGTGGAATAAAGTAGTTCCTCTTACAAAAGGGTTTTTGAGCCATATCACACTGCTATTTGTGCGATATATATATATATATATATATATATATATATATATATATATATATATATATATATATATAATAGCATTTCTGTATTAATAGTATTTCTGCTAACTATTGCAGCTAAGAATTGGTAAAGTGGTGGTAAGTTTTGTTTTCATGAATAAGTTTAAACTGTCATCTTTCAAAATTCTAAATTAAATCCAAAATTCTTTGATTTTCATGCATTAACAATTTATGAAATAAAGACACATTATATTTGACAATAATTCTAACTAAATATCCTTGTTTTTAGTTTGAACAAAAAAAGAAACATGCATAAATCCCCTTATTTAGTTAAAATATTATGTTTTAGCTCTTGCAATTTGAATCTAATTAGCGATATCACTGCCTGTTTGGTTAAATTCCTATATATTTTTTCCTTACATATGCCATTTCTAATTTTTTATTTGGTTATTTACTCTGTTTCATTAATTTTGATCGTCTAGTCAACTGCAAAGAAAATGTATAACCTTATTTATGTTTATTATTAAAAATTATATTCATAACTAAACAAAATCATATTACATCGTTTTGTCTTGTTTCGAGTCAAAATATTAAAAGAAATTGTTAAAAAAAACTTTTTCTAATGAAATAAAAAATATTGCTTTGTTTTCAGAATTAATAAGTCAAAATTAAGTGACTTTTTATTTAAAACGAGCTAAAAAAATCTGCCAATGAGAAAATAAACTAATATTATCTCCAACCAGAAACTAAATTAATTTACTTATGGCACTGTCAGAGTTATTAAGCTTGTTTTAGGGGAAAAAGTCAATAATTTATACCCGTCTAGAAAATCCTCCTTAATTTAAGATGTTTTTAGATATTTGCACTAGAATTAACACAGAATTCTTTGCAGAAGGATGAAACCCATCAATGTATAAAATTAATGCATCCAGCTTTACCTCATCTGACAAGTGATCACAATGTTCTATGAGTCTGTGTCTCAGGGGATGCTGAGTAATGCCAGCAAGTGTCTCTGGCCCTGTTTCCTCTCCCAACAGGAAGTAAATGGTCTCTTGAAGTAGGGCTTCTGATGTCACCTGTCTGATGATCCGGTTTAACAGGGCTGTAGAAGTTAAAATGCCAACCTCTGACCTGGAAAGAGACAAAAATGACAAAAGACTAAGAAGGAAAACTTTCCCTGTTCAATTCTGCTGCCGGTGCAATTGCAAAGCAAACAGTCCTGAGATAGCTGACATACTTACGTTTGCATTAGCTGAGGTTCCATCACAGCAACAAAGAACCGCTCTCTTACAGCTCGAGCCAGAACTGCAGCAGCTGACTAACATAACAGAGGAATCAAACACAAAATAAGTTACAAAAAAACCATGAGTATAATATATATAGAGCTTAAAGGGGCTGATAATTTTGACTTTAAAATGTATATATATATTAAAGTATAAAGTAAAGTATTAAAGTATTAAAGTATATAAAGTATTACACATACACAAAAGCATATATGCATGAAATGATATAACATTAAAAAATAAAACAATAAAAATAAATACATTATAATAATAATAATATAAAGTATCAAATATACACAAATCATATATGCATAAAGTGATAGAACATTAAATAAAAAATAATAAGAAATTTATTAACAAATGAATAAAGTAGGGAAATAAAAAAAAAACACAAAAAAATAAATAGAAAAATATAAATAAAAAATAATTATGAAACCATTTATTTGATATGAAAATAAATAATTGTTTTGGTTAAATTTGTGTTTTTTGTTTGTATTGATTTTACCTTATGAGCCTCTTTGATGAGCTGATCACAATAGTCCAGCCACGATAAAAAGGAAATAAGTGCACGTTTGCCAGCAAAAGCAGCAGCGTCTTCTTTTAGATTGTACACATCCAGCCTACAAACACACATACACTTTTAACAAACATCCAAAACAGTTCAACACATCTCTAGGCAATATAGAACATATAGCAATATCTTTTAAATTATTTTATTGGCAAAAAATAAAATGAATATCAGATGATTAAAAACATTTTTAAAACAGTTGGACGTGTTAATATTATAACTTATTAGCAAAAAAAAAAACAGGTAAATATTATATAGCTGGATATAAATTAAACTAATTTAATTTACTATTTGTCATTTAGTGAAAAAAGGATATGTAGAAAACTATATTTACATTAAAAATTAAATTTAATATTTAGTTTAACTTGTATTAAAGACAGCGAGAGATATAAAGATAGACATAGAAAGAGATAGAGTAAGATATAGAGTTAGATAGAGAGAGAGAGATAGATAGATGGATAGATGGATAGATGGATAGATGGATAGATGGATAGATAGATAGATAGATAGATAGATAGATAGATAGATAGATAGATAGATAGATAGATAGATAGATAGATAGATAGAATGACAGAGCGGTAGAACAATAGCTAGCTAGAAAGATAGCTATATAGAACAATATTGAAAGATAGCTAAAACAATAGATGGATAGATAGCTAGAATGATAGCTAGAACAATAGATAGAATGATAGCTAGAACATTAGACAGAATAGCTAGAACAATAGAATTACAGATAGAATGATAGCTTGAACAATCGATAGAATTATATCTAAAACGAACAATAGATTGAACGACAGATAGAATGAACGATAGAACAAATGATAGATAGTACAAACGATCGATACATAGAACCAACGAACGATAGAACTAATGATTGCTAGAATAAACGATAGAAAGCTAGAACGAATGACACAGAACGAACAAACAAACGAACGAACGAACGATAGATAGATAGAACAAATGAATGATAGATAGACAGACAGACAGACAGACAGACAGACAGACAGACAGACAGACAGACAGACAGACAGACAGACAGACAGACAGACAGACAGACAGACAGACAGACAGACAGACAGACAGATAGATAGATAGATAGATAGATAGATAGATAGATAGATAGATAGATAGATAGATAGATAGATAGATAGATAGATAGATAGATAGATAGATAGATAGATAGATAGATAGATAGATAGAACTAACGATAGATAGTTATAATTATCGATAAATAGCTAGATCTAATGATATTGATAGATAGAATGTACAATAAAAAAATCAAGACAGAATGAACGATAGATAGAACAAATGAACGATAGACAGAACGAAAGATAGATAGAACGATAAGATAGAATGAACAATAGAACAAACGATAGATAGATTAAACTAACGAACAGTAGATAGAACTGTTTTCAGTATCAAACAACCTTAATACAAATAATCCTACTTAATATGAAATTAAAATATATTTTTTTAAAAATCAATCACATCAGCATATATATTAAACCATTTTAAAAGCATTGGATTAAAGAATGCATGTACCCCCAGTTTACAGACTCCACAGTTTCAATATCCAAAGGGTCCATTGACTGGGGAAGGGCACGGTAAAACTGTCCCAGTCGATCGGTGAGCAGCTGACTGAGCTCTGTGTTTTCTGTCAGACATTTGGCTGCAGCCGGCTCCGGCAAACTGACTATCAGCATCAGACCTTCACATGCCTTCACTACAATACGACCATCCTGTGAAAAACACCAGATCAGTTAAACAACAAACTCCACATTCATCTTAATGTCTGAGAGACTAAGGTCTGCACTTACTGGACTCTTAGTGAGGTTCAGAAGGGAGCTGACTAGGTTATAGTTGTCGTTGTTTGGCAGTGTGTTGTGGACGGAGGACGGTTTTGCTTCTGCTGGGCTGGGGGCTTGACTGGCTGAATCTTCCAGACTAGAATTTTGGTTTTGATTCTGTCCTGTATCCGGAGAAGAAGGATCATCTTTCACCTGGTCAGTTCCAGCTTCTTTACCAGCTTCTAATCGTTTATTCTTATTCTGCAGAAACACACAGAGAAAAGACACATAAACGCTGGAAGCAAGCAGAGATGTTTAATGTGGTAGTAGAAACACCTCATCAAGTAGAAATAAGGTTTTTCTTTAGTTTTGTTGACAGAGCTACATTATTTACGCTTGTTTGTGACCTTAGTGTTCAATTAGGCATTATTAAGGGATGCAAAACAAGTTAAATATGTCATGGATGGTGCTTGCTTATCAACCATATTTGCATTTTCTGAAGAAAATATTGAAGCTTATTATATTGCTTAATATTAGTGGAAAATTAAATAAAAAGTTTTTAGATTAATTAGATTTTTTATAAAGGTCTTAAAAACAAATTAGTAAAAAGGTAAACAAATAAATAAACAAATAAACAAAAACAAACTAACAAACAGTGATAGATTGCTAGAATTATCAATAGATAACTAGAACAAATGATAGACAGCTGGAACGAATGATAGCTAGAACGAATGATAGAATGAACAATAAGGATAGATAGATAGATAGACAGACAGACAGACAGACAGACAGACAGACAGACAGACAGACAGACAGACAGACAGACAGACAGACAGACAGACAGACAGACAGACAGACAGATAGATAGATAGATAGATAGATAGATAGATAGATAGATAGATAGATAGATAGATAGATAGATAGATAGATAGATAGATAGATAGATATAAAGAACAATAGAACGAACAAATGATAAACAGAGAGACAGACAGACAGACAGACAGACAGACGGAACTAAGGATAGATAGCTAGAATTAACGATAAATAGCTAGAACGAACGATATAGATAGATAGAACGTACAATAGAAAAATCAAGACAGAATGAACAATAGATAGAACAAATAAACGATAGACAGAACAAAAGATAGATAGAACGATGAGATAGATATTGTTAGATAGAATGAACAAACGATAGATAGAATGAACTAAGGTTAGATAGAACGAACGAAATTAATGATAGATCGATTGATATATCGAACGAAAGATAGAACGTTAAGATGGATAGAACGAATGATAGTTAGATAGAACGAATGGACAATAGAACGAAAGATAGATCGAACTTATGAACAATAGATAGAACTTTTTTTTTAATATCAATCAATCTTAATACAAATAATCCTAATTATTATGGAACTAAAATGATTTAAAAAATTTTTAAAAGTTTTAGTTTTATTTGATTTTGCATAAAGTTCCAAACAAACAAATGAGTAAAAAATTAAACATAAATAAACAAATAAACAAACAAATAAATCAAATGTTTTAGGCTAGTTGTACTTTAGCGTTTTGGTTTTGCACAAGTTATGTGCCTGACAAATAAAATAAATACATAGTTTTAGATTAGTTTAACTTTAGAGCTTTGGTTTTGCATAAGTTAGGTGCCTAACAATTAAATAAAATAAATAAATAAAACAAAGTATTTTAGGTTAGTTTCACTCTTGGCCCGTTTCCACTAAGTGGTTCGGTACAGTTCGGTACGCTTTTATGGCCATTTTCACTGTCTAAAGGTACCTAAAAGCGAACCTTACCATACCACTTTTTGGCACACTTTGTAAAGGGTACTTAGCATGGCAAAAGGGTACCAAAAGGCAGAGCTAGACGTGCAGCTAAACGGTATTGGTTTACAGAGAAACATCAGTTGCGCACACAGAAGCAGGAGAATGAAAACAAAGAAACTGCTATTTTTAAATACAAAGCCGACACATTACATTGTAATACTATATGCTAGAGCTGCACTATAAAGGTTATTATGAGTGGGCTATTATTACTATTATTTCTCAAACATACAGTGAAAAAACTATTATAATATTATGTGTAGCTCTACTGTTGGTTAAAATGCTCAATTTTGTATAGACTTGGAATGGGTGACTTGAAGTGATTACATCAGAATAAACTTCTTATAATTCTGATGTTGAATCATTATGTTTGAGAAATATGCTTGTAATCTGTCACTGACAGCATTATTAAACCATTTTTTTACTGATAAAATCAGACATTTGACATCATCAGATTCCCTCTTGCATTATATTCAACATTATATAGGCTAGATAAGTTAACTAGAACTGTTAAACATTTATTCACATGTAAAACACTGTGTTCGCTATGAATGAAAAAACACATTAAATGCTTGTCACAATCATACTCTATAAAACAATATGATTATTTAAATGATGTGTTTGCATTTGGTTTCATTTTTACTGCTAAGTGCGGTTCATACTTCTCGCGCGGCTCCCAAACGATCACTCTGTGCCACAAACTGAATGTTATTTATAACTTTATTACCTGTTTTTCACAGCCTGTGCACGCTTTAGTTTTCACTAAAGTAGACTTCATTCACATGGGTGCACCTGCCCTCTCTGTGGTAACAAATCAAAGTCAGCTTACATCACGTGTGATTTCACAGCCGCAAATATATCATTATATTAAGACAGAAATGGCGTTTTTGGGTGAATTATACCCTGTAATTACAGTATGCGACTCTTTCAACACCATTTCAACACCATTGGTGTCCACGGTGCTGAACAACCTATGTAAAACAATGTGAACACTTTCTCATACGATATGTGAACGACCAGTACAACTTTACTTTGTCATTTTCTTGAGCGAGAATGACATCAACTGGAACTTTCTGTCGTACACCAAGCCCACCAAAGCCCACCCTTGGTACCCTTTAGGCAGTGAAAATGCAAGCCTGATAAAGATGACCCATACTGACCTGTACTGTACTGTATCGTACTGTACCAGTAAGTGTAAATGGGCCATTTAAGGCTTTGGGCTTGCATAAATTGTGGCAAACAATTAAATAAATGATTAAATAAATGATTAAATAAATAAATAAATAAATAAATATTTTTAGGCTAGTTTTAATTCAGGGTTTTTGTTTTGCATAAATTCAGTGCCTTCCAAACAAACAAACAAACAAACAAACAAACCAATAAATAAATAAATAAATAAATAAATAAAAATGTTTTAGGTTAGTTTTACTTTAGGGTTTTAGTTTTGCTTAAATTAAGCAGCTAACAATTAATTAAATAAAAAGAAAAACAAAATCACTCACTTCCAGAAAGAAGTTGACAAGGTATGGGTCCTGCTTAAGTTTGGCACAGACTGTACACAGAAACTGGATCTCTTCATTCTCTGTAGGAGCAGCCAGAACCTCCCCGCACAGGCGAACCAGTTTCTGGAGAAAAATAAACAGCGTCATGAACTCTTACACAGTATTTACAGAGTGAAGACAGTTTAAAACTGTATATCTGACTACCTGTACAGGTCTGTGCACATTGATGTGAGGCAGGAGAGGTTGGCGAATTCGACCCAAGAGCTTGGTGTAGAAACTCAAAACTTGCTGTTTCATTCCAGGAGGACACTAAAGGAAAGAAAAAAAATGAATGCCCGTTTTTCTAGTTCACTGATCCTTATTCAAAGCATTACACGTGTTAAAGCAACATCAATTTACTGTACAAGAGTTATGTTTCATTAAAATGATGAAACAGCATATTTGTTTTACATATTTTAATAAGTGCATTTTAGGATAAATCATATAAATTTAAAAAAAAAAATTTAAATAATAATAAAAACTTCCTGCTGGCAAATATGTAAAATACCACAATGCAGCATAAAGCATAGTGGTAGAGCATAAATAAATAAAATGACATTTAATTAGTATTTTTGGGCTGCAATGTAATCTTGAAATAGAGTCTTTTATGTTTTTTGTCCTAGAAATGCCTCTACTGTTACATTGAATGCCATTTTACAGTGTGTCTCTTTTAAATCATTGTAAAACACTTGTGAAAAAGTCACATATTAATGTAAACATTAATAATATATAGTTGTAATAAACGTACTGCATTGAAAAAAGATATCTGGAAAATTGTTGCAAACAATTTATGCGTTGAATTTAATAAATTAAATTTTGTAATGTTCAACTTTCTTCTTTTATTTCTATATTTATATATATATATATATATATATATATATATATATATATATATATATATATATATATATATATATATGACGAACAGTTGCAAGTATTCTATTCTATTTTTCTTTAAAGCAAGAAAATGGTTTTAGACAGCCTGCAGTTATTTCCTAATGAGTCAAAGCAACTGACAGTCTCTTTTCACCAAACATGACTCACAGTAAATGAGTAGGTCTCTTCTGACCACACATTATTTACAAATATCTTTGCCATCTTCCACAATCTAGTGAGGAGTGTTCTGAAGCAAACAACAGAGTGTGTGAGTGCTCCAAATTAGGGTTGGGTGATTTCGACCAATTTGGCATCTTTTGATGTAAAATGTAAAACGGACGATGGCATCGTCGTCGTAGGTGGTGGTGAATTAATTATTTATGAATAATTAATTAATCCATAACGAATGAATTAATTGTAGCCTATCGTTTTCAACCACCTGACCAGCTCTACTACCTCAGCTCTGGGTTCAGCTTTGAGCCACTTCAGCTAATAGCAGAACAGAAACTACCAGGAAGGTGGGGATAAAGATAGTGTCGCCCCATCTGATTGGTCAAATTTAGATAAACAACCAAAGCATAAAATAAGTTTATCCAGTGGTGGAAAGAGTACTGAAAAAATCATACTTAGGTAAAAGTACCATTACTTGACTAAAAATGTAGAGTAAAAGTATCTGTTGTAGATATTACTCAACACATGAGTAAAAAGTAGCCCTTTCAAAAGTACTCAAGAGTAGTGAGTGTTACGCTGTAAAAAGCTGATGCATTTACATGTGACTTGTGGATGTGTGTAAACGTAACATTCTGAAGTGCATTTAGTTATTGCCTAGCAGGTACACAACGCCATAAGATGTTATTATTAGGTTACATTTAGGTTGTAATGTCAGGAGACCAAAATTCAACATCTAGCCAGCGTCTAAGTACAACGTTATTTTAATGTCCAATAACGACGTCAAATGACGTTGATATTTGGTTGTTTTTAGGTTGTTAGAAAGTGACCAAAATCCAACATCAAGCCAACATCTTAAACCAACATCCTATTGACGTCAAATACTGACATTTATTCCTCAGGTACGGCAACCAAAAGCCAACATTTGATAGACGTGATAGTGGTAACGTCCACACAACATCAAGCTGTAACATCATTAGACATTAATATTTGCAAGCTGATTTTTATTTCCAAACAAAATGCAACGTCCCCACGACAGTGGGGTACAACCAGGCCTGGATTAAGAATTAAGGCACAATGTCTTGTAGGCCCCTACCTGGCTGCACCACTATAGTTGAATAAAAAAAAAAACTAATATAATATTTTTTTAAATAAGATGAACCTATAATGTATTGCCCCCATTACATATACAGTACATCGGTACATATATAGTCTACAAAAGATTTAACTTATTTATAAAGCATTTGAAGCAAACTTTGACAAAAAAAATACTAATATAACTAGTGAAAATGAATGGATTTTAATATACTTGTTCAAGTTCACAGAAGCAGTACAAAAATATATATATTTAAGAGTATTTTTAATGTGTAACATCTGCAAACTTATAATGCATATGATTTGGATATAACATCTCTCCAATCCAGTTCTATGAATCCGAGTCTTCTATAATACACACAATTATAAATGATTCCTACTTGTCTTCCTCGTGATGAAGAGTAGGCAATATCTGATATGTAATGTTTAAAAAAAGATGAACGTGTTCATCAGATGCTGGATTCGAACCGATTTAATGATCGATGACATCAAAACATATTGCCATGCGCTTTACGAACTACACCACTTATACTGCTGTTTGTCACGCTCTTTAGTTATATTGTCTCTGTCAATCAATCGGTGATGGGCAGGAATCACTCAACTAGTTTATTCCAACGAGGTGCGCTATTTGCACTTAGCCTAAATAGACACTACAAAATCGGCATTTTTTTCTCCCCTAACAGGGGCCCCAAGTGCACATGGGCCCCTGAGCCTGTGCCCATAAAGCCCATTGGTTAATCCGGCCCTGGGTACAACTTTAATCTGACATCATGTTAACATCTTTTGCCTGCTGGGTGTTTAAGGCCATTTCGGTCTTCATACAGTAAACATCCGTCATTTTTTAAGCAGTGACATGCATCTAAACAGTCTCTGGATTAATGCGTGTAAAGATTTTAGACATCTTCTTGGACAATTTTTATGCTTCCAAACAGTTTGCTGCAATTATAAATCGACCATTTCTTGAGGTAGTTCATAATAATGCAATTTACCTCTATGTACCCTAATCCCCATAGACAAGAAAAATAAAGATTGCAGGTTAAAGGAAAGTAGAGAAGTAAAAGTACCAATACAGCACTAAAAAGGTACTCAAGGGAAAGTAAAAATAAACATTTTTCAAACTACTAAGTAAATTACAATTCCTGAAAAAACTAGTCAATTACAGTAGCTTGAGTATTTGTAATTTGTTACTTAACACTAGGGTTGGGCCGATCCATCGCCGATGACCTATAAACTCAGCATTGTGATCCATCGCCCCACATTTACATTGACATATAACTTATTATTTGCATGTCATCTTAATAGCAATGTCGGTCTTTTTATGAGCTGTGTTAAAGCAAGTGTTAAGCGTTGCAGGCTTTTTTTTTTAACTTCAGCAGGTTCACATAACAACTGTTTATCTATTCCTGAGTGCTGCGTTTGGCATTTTTAGGTGCAAAGATGCATTCTGCATCTCCTAAATCCGTGCACGCATTGAAGATTTTGCAGTAAAAACAGGTCGTACGACAACAATTTACGCACTCGCACAAATGCTTCCAAATATATTTTTAGGTCGCATCGATAAAAATTTGGGCGCATATATGACCAAAACCATCGAGCCCTAGCATCTTTACATGTTATTATTTCCTCATAATAATAATAAAATAAGGAAGTTATCATCAATCACAATACAAATTACAGTGAACTCCAAACAAACTCTTGTCTCCTCCACCAGCTGTGGAAAAAAAAAAAAAAAACCATTATAACAACAAAGATCACTCTGCCTATTCAGAGGCCCGCAGAAAAAAAGTGATTGATACGTGCTAATTTGTGTGTAACTTCATTTACTTATTTATGGTTTGGTTATTGGTAAATCAAAGACCATGTAGGTCAGGTAGTGAAAACGGTAGGCTACAATTAATTAATTCGTTATGAATTTGTTATGAATTAATTAATAACGATGCCATCGTCCATCGCAATGTTTTACATTAGACATTGTACGATGCCAAATTGGTCAAAATCGCCCAACCCTACTTTACACCGCTGAATTTAATCACACACGCCTGCATTGTGTATAATTCATATACTCTATCATGATGACAATAATTTTGTGCAGCCCTATCAGAAATGTCAAATTTCAATTTACCCCTGCACTGTCCACATGTGATTGGATTGACAAATGCATCTTACTCACAGACATCTATTCTAAACCAGGTGGAAACCAGTGCAAAAAACTCACATCTGCTTTTCCCAGGGTGTAGAGAGTCTCCAGTATCTTATGGTGGAGAAGATATTCCATACAGGGTCCCGTCTCTCCTGACTCCCTCTCCCTCTCCTCCTGGGTCAGAATATCCAGCATCTGCTCCAGGTGGGAGGGAATGTTGGTGTCTGTCACGGGAGCTTTGTCATCTGCAAAAACATGAACAGGTGATCACAAATGGTTTCTTGGTCCTGGTAATGTAGCACAACAAAGTGAGATTGACTGCAGATCTCTTACCTGAGGTTTCTATGTAATAATGTGTGATGGCCTTCCAATGATAGACGAAATCTTCTTGCAATGGCAGTGACGGCGCAAGCTAAAAAATAAATAAATAATTAATAACGACAAAATACCTGTCGTCACTGGTTTGCTTGGTTTGGGACTTGTGGAGCTGCGCATCGATGGATTTGCTCTTCAGTGTTTGGACTTTCAGCAGTGAAAATTAAACCACACTGAACTGAACTTCAACTCTGAAAACTGGACGTTTACTGTAATCTTCTATGTTAAGCTGATTTGACACAATCTACATAGTAAAAGCGCTATAGAAATAAAGGTGAATTAAACTTAACACCCCAAACATTACCATATACAGTAGCACACAAACGTATGTTCAAAGATTGTCTGATTGCATCATATAAATATCTAAATTATAAAATATATAAAAACCAAGTGTGTTCAGTAAAGATCAGTTACTTTTGGCAGAACAATTTTTTTATGGTTTATTTTTATTTATTTTTTTACTGGTTTTAGTACCCAACATTTTGCCTCAACCTGGCGAGTGCCATAAACATTTCATCATCATTAAAAGCGCCTTCCTATTTTACCATGATTTTGTTAGTATGTCTACTGTCTAGATCAGAGATGCACAAACTAGGGTGCTTTGATTAGGTAACCTTTGATTTGGCCATCCATCCCATCTGAGAAGAGAGGGAGAATGATGGGAATTTTTAGGGGAATGGCGTTAACAGGGATTGTCGATTCTAATTTAACATAACTTTTGTTTTTTAACTGCAGAGCTACAAAAAAGCATATTGAAATTAAATTTTTCAATTAAATATTGTGAATGAACCAGATATAAAACAACAATACAGTCACTTAGATGGATAGCAAGTGCAGAAGACATCAGCAAGCAAAGTGCAAACTGTATTTTTCAGTGTTATAAATGGAATTGTTAATGTTTTTATTGTAAGAAGTTTATTCATTATAAAATATACAAAAAATTATAATTATTTATACAAATAAAGTATTTTAAATGTATTAAATAATAGTATTAATTCAATTATATAATGAATTATAATAATACATTAGGAAATTACACTGACAACTTTACAGTTTGATACATTTATCTCCAGCCCACCAACCTCAATCAAGTTCAGTTTTTTCACCCTTTATAAGAAAAAGTTTGGGCACCCCTGGTCAAGATCTTATTCCTGTATGGACCATTTTGAGGAATGTAAACAATAACAATGGTCCCAAGGCATTTAAATTTCAGGCCTCGACAATAAGAACTGCCCGATGGCCCGGGGTCAGTCAGCGTGAGAGATGCTCGGCACAGTAGACAGGATTGTTACTGGCCCGATCGGAACAGCGCTGCCTTGTCACTAAAGTTTAATTTGGATCCAACTGTTTGTAAACTGCATTGCAAATACAGGGTGCTTTCACGCCCAGATGTTTGTTTTGGAACCGTTCTCGTTTGCCCAGTAAGCGCGGTTCGTTTGGCATATGTGAATTCAGCGCTCAGATCTGGGCCAAATCAATCTGCCCGAGACCGAGGTGGTCTCTGCTCGAATGAAATGAACTCTGAAGCGAATCGATTGTAGTGAGAAAGCAAAACGATCCAACTAACCAATGAACCAGGCTATATCACAGTGTATTATGGTTATCTTATACCCATATATACAGCTATATAAAGAGAGAAATATGGGTAGGGCGGTCAGTAGGATGCCATTCCTACCGTCAAATCTGAGATTCATGTCGAATACGAAAGTGAAAGCATGTTGAAATTTTAACAAGTACTGTTTATCTCTTAAAAAAATTTACAGAAATCTCCATCTGATATTTTCTTCATATTTAAATCTTGCAATATTCGGTATTAAGCCTATTGTTTTGTTCATTTCTGCAGTGACACCTTGAAAGAAAGATCAGCATTGATCTGGTTCAGGCCTGGATTGGCAAATCGGGATTACTGGGAGAATTTCTGGTGGGCCGGTCCATTTTTTTGTCCGCGAGGGCTGGTGTACCTAGCTACACACTCTCAGCAGTCTCACTTTTTTCATTTATTTATTTATTTGACCATAGCCTCACTATTTTTAATCATTGTTTTGTCGCAGCTCCACTCCTTTTATTTATTTTTTCTCAGCCCCATGAGCAAAATGCAGCCTGCAGGTTAATGATAAAGTAACTATCATTCGACAAATTTTCGCCAAAATATCAAAACCGTTTCTGCATTTTTTGTGTAAGCAAGTATTATACAGTGCTTAAAACATCTCTGATAATGTTTTCAAACTATTTTTTTTTGACTTACCAAAATCACACAAGTGGTAATTTCACATCTGTCCCACCCATAACGGAGAGATTCATAACAGAGATTTTTCCTCAAGAATGCAAAAGCATGTTAAATAAAATAAAATCAACAATTTCTGTTCTATAGTGAGCCGACTCTTATTCTTTTGATTAGCATAGTTTATTTTGAGTTGTGCAGTTTAATTCACACAATTTCTACAAAGTATTTTGTATACTCTAAACTTTCATACTTTTTTGGTCACATCCATAACGCATGTTTATTTTCCTCATTTAAAAAATAAAAAATGTTTACAGACTGATATTTTTCTGCTCCCATAATTCTGTGGTAAGTTGTTTTGGAAAACATAAACAGATATTTTAATATAATGTAAACATATACCTTCTATATGGATTTATGTTTTGAAATTTTACTCCAAATGTCACATCCATAACAGCTGGAATTGCTCACATATAATTTTATTATCATTTTCAAATTTAGTTACATCACAATTGTATTTTTTTAAATTGCCAGTTGTATTTAAAGAAAAGCTATACCGTATAAGTGCATGTATAAAATTATGTTTGGTTTTTGACACATTATTTAAAATATATGACTAACTTAAATAGCTAATAACTTCTTTTTTTTTGGTGGGGCCAGCAGAAAACAATCCTTAGCATTAAATTTTTGATTGGATTTTTAATTTCTATAGCTTCCGAGAATCTGAAAAGAGCCACACATTTATAAATAATGTTATGATCTCTGTTTTAACATTAAGTTTTGATTGAATTGCCTCTTGCTACAGTTATGAAAGAGTTTGACAACAAGAAGAAATGTTCATGGGTTAATGACATGACCATATTGAAATGGTCTTAAACTAAATGTAAATTGCGTTGACATTTTAATATTTTATGTCAACGGTCATACATAAATACAACACAGTTATACAACAAAGTGTGAATCAAGTGAAATAAATTTTTAATACGATGATAAATATATAAAGCGATATTAAGGTAATCCTACATAAGACCTGCACGCGTGTCATAGTAACAGCTGTTTTGTTTACATCCTGCAAAGGAACTGCTAGCATGCTAACCGGCTAACACGGTCTAATAAAAATGTCAGTTTCACGTTATACGTGCGGAATTTCTCCCATTTAATGATAAATATTGTCGTAGAATAATCGAAATATTTTAGATTCGTGTACACGAAGACCTTTAGTCAAAGAAAAAAGGAATTGCGCAAGATTTAGCACAGCTGCTAATATACATAGCAAACAAAGACTTACCACAATCATAATCATAAAAACAGAATAAACGACAACCAAGCTGACACACACCCCCAAGTACTCGTGATGAGACAGTTAAAACAGTTTTAAGGGTTTTGTCTGACATGCATTATGTATTAACGTTACATAAGCTGTTGTTAGCTCAGGTGTTTGGCTAACAGGCCTTATGATACACCAACCGACTCTCACTTTCTCATTTCCCTAGTCAAACAGATATTTAAATACGGTCAGATAAAGTTTCCAAAGGTCTCACCGCCTCGACAGCGTGCTGTAGGATGGAGGTAAATTTGGAGAACATGTTGTTTTTGGACAGGAGGAGTTTTGCTCGGGAGATCTCCTCTCTCTTCCCTCTGCTGCTCCTTCTGCGGTGATCCAGATTGAAGACTTGCGCTAAGACACACTCCTCCGAAACATGTATACCGACAGCGTGATGGTGTGTATTTACATTTCAACACACGTCAATTCTGAAAGCAAGAAAGCGGTCAAACACATACACTGGAAGGGAAAGTATGGGAGGTTTGTCTTCTTAAGGCCACGGTGGCACTTCCATTGCGCTCGAACAAACACTGATGATCACTTCTGTTCTGCCAACACACACAAACACCAGACACCGGCTAGCTGAAATAATGGGGGAAAAAAAGATTAGCCTATTTCTAGTTACATGGTTCTTTACAGTTGTATTTTATATTATTTAAAAGCTTGTTTTTTCGTAAAAAAGAAGAATAAATTAATAAAAATAAATAAAAAAGGAAATAGATTGAGAACCTAATGCTATCGCAAACATCTGAAAACATGACACACGTTCCAAAACCGTGAACATGCTTCTTGGTGTTAATAATAATAATAATAATAATAATAATAATAATAATAATAATAATAATAATAATAATAATAATAATAATAAAAAGAGGACTCTTATTGTAAAAACAAGGACTTTTATGTGTTATAGCTAAATGTATTCACAACAATACCACCAACAATAATTATGATTAAAAATATGAATAATAAAAATAATAATCACAAGAGAACTATGTTTGTATAGGTATGGACTCTCAGTACTTTTGCTGGAACAACACATTGTTCAAATGTTAATATTTAAGGTGTATTTACATAGTAATAATAATTATTATTTAATTTCTTTTTCGGCTTAGTTCCTTTATGGGGTCACCATAGCGGAATGAACAGCCAACTTATCCAGCATATGTTTCATGCTGCTGATGTCCTTCCAGCCGCAACCCATCCCTGGGAAACACCCATTCACACTAATTTACACTCATACACTACGGACAATTTAGCTTACCCAATTCACCTATAGCACATGTCTTTGGACTTGTGGGGCAAACTGGAGCACCCGGAGGAAATCCACACTAGCACGGAGTGAACATGCAAATTCCACACAGAAATGCCAACAATGCCAATAATAATAATGTTTATTCTAACGTTATTGGGTTCATCTAATAATACAACATATAATAAAATATACAAATAATAAATAATGCTAAATTAAAATAAAATACAAACAAACCATAATAATATTATTATTATTATTATTATTATTATTGTTGTTGTTGTTGTTGTTGTTGTTGTTGTTGTTGTTATTATTTAATATAATATTATTGCAACTGCTACTACTACTACTACTACTACTACTACTACTACTACTACTACTACTACTACTATTATTAGCAAGATTATAAAATTACCAATATTTAAAATGGTAATATGGAAAAATACATAATTATTTGACCTTTTTCATTTCGTTTGGGATATTAAAAGGATCTATTTTTTAATAATACCAGCAGAAATTATAACAATACTACTACTACCACTACTACTATTAATATTAAGAATAATAAAAGGACTCTTATTGTATAATCAAAGACCTTAAAGCTTTTACTGGGGGAAAAGCTAAATATATTATATTATATATATATTATAATATATTATATTAGATATTCACAACAGTACTACCAACAAGTATTCATTCATTCATTCATTCATTTTCTTGTCGGCTTAGTCCCTTTATTGATCGGGGGTCGCCACAGCGGAATTAACTACCAAATAATCCAGCAAGTTTTACGCAGCGGATGCCCTTCCAGCCGCAAGCCATCTCTGGGAAATCAACAATTATTATGATAAAAATATAAATAAAAAGTATTAATCCCAAGAGAACTCTATTTGTATTGTTAAGGACCCTCATGTAATTTTACTGACTGTGAATCCACAGTACAATACATGTCAGAATTTGGGAACAACTAATTGTTTAAGGTGTATTCATGTACTAATAAAAATAATGTTTACTCTAATAATAATATTGGGTTCATCCAATAATACAGGATATAAAATATATAAAATAATAAATAATGCTAAATTAAAGTAAACAATTAAATACAAAAACTATAATATTTATTATGATTGTTTTGGTTATGATTATAATGATTATGATGAATATGTTTATATTATATTATATTATATTATATTATATTATATTATATTATATTATATTATATTATATTATATTATATTATGTTATATTATATTATAATTACTACTAGTACTACTACTTCTACTAATACTACTACTACTATTATTAGCGAGATTATAAAATTACCAATATTTAAAATGCTAATATAAAATAATGCATAACTCTTTAACCTTTTTTTGTTTTTTTGGCTTGGGAGATTAAAAGGATCTGTATTTTAATAATACCAGCTGCAGTAATGACAATTCCAGTTCTACTGCTACTACTACTACTACTACTAATAATAATAGTTATTATTATTATTATTATTATTATTATTATTATTATTATTATTATTATTATTATTATTATTATTATTATTATTATTATTATCATCATCATCATAGTAGTCGTTATTATTATTATTGTTATTAATAATAATAATAATAATAATAATAATAATAATAATAAGAAGAAGAAGAAGAAGAAGAAGAAGAAGAAGAAGAAGAAGAAGAAGAAGAAGAAGAAGAAGAAGAATATATTTTACATTTTATTTCTGTTCATATCACAGACTGTTAAAAATATTTATGTTAGAGCTATGAGGGACTCTTATGTTGAAGCGGTGTCCGTGCGGCTGGTAGGGCGGCTGATGTCTGCTCCGTTCTTCTCTCCAGCAGCAGCTGCGCACTCATAAACACAAACATGTCCGCTGTTCCTGACGGCAAAAAGCTGGTCCGGAGCCCGAGCGGACTCCGCATGGTACCGGAGAACGGCGCGTTCAACAGTCCGTTTACCCTGGACGAGCCGCAGTGGGTTCCGGATAAAGAGGTAAAGAAGATCGATCACTGATTATTGGGATGGTGATGATGATGATGCTTTGGGCGTTGTTTGCTTAAGGCAAGAAGAGCCAGTGGAAAATATTTGCTAACTTTCGCAGATGGTACTACAAAGACGTAAGATGGCACGATTTAGATCTTTTAAACAGATTTGAGTTGAAATGCATGCAAATCACCTAGTATATCTGCTGTAGTGAGTACTGTAGTGTGTATGTGAGCGAACAACCATCATTGTGAACATGTATAATGTATTGATAAATGATTGATCTGCTGGGCATGTGACAGACAGTTTGGATGGCATGGCATTCGGGTCAAACTTTGCCCAATGCTTCTGTGTGGCCAAGAGACTGTCAGACGATTAAACCACGCCCACTTATTAATAATATATGGCGAGGTATGCAGAAACCACTGACATTCAAAAGTACAATTTCCATCACCTTTGCCACATCACGTGTCACGTCAACCACTTAAAGGGACAGTTCACCCAAAAATGAAAATTAGATTACTATTTACTAACTCTTATGTGGGTTCAAACATTCACAAGTTTATTATTTTGTTTCTATTGAACACAGAAATTATTATTATTATTATTATTATCATGATAATAATGATATTATACAATGATATTATTATTATCATTGTCAGTGCATCAGGTGACAGTAGTTTTTTGTAAATAAAGCCAATAAAGGTCCCGTGAAGTGCTTTGAAATGTACATTTTTGTTCGATGTTTGACGTAATCTCAACTGAAAAATGAAGAGAGGGTGGGACTTAGCGTAGCCCCTCCCCTTTAAAAAAAAGTCAGTCAGTTGAGCAAATCAGTTGAGCAAAGCTAGAAATCAGTTGAGCAAAGCTAGTGTAATGGATGTGAAATCGGTAATAAAAATACACAAAGAATGTTAAGCTTAACAGTATATTGAAACATAAGTTTATATCTTTCAACACAATTAACTAAAGAGCTAATGCATCAATAATGATCTGTAAATGTGTTTTATATTTGAAATTTGGAAAATGAACATGGCTTATGGAAATGACCAAAAAGTATATAGTAAACTTGTTGAAAATTCTGTGAATTAAGCTACACGTTCCAATAGAAATTACACTGATCAAAAGGATGTGTTATATTAATAATAATAATAATACATTTATTCATTCATTTTCCTGTCGGCTTAGTCCCTTTATTATTCTGGGGTCGCCACAGCGCAGCGGAATGAACTGCCAACCTATCCAGCAAGTTTTTACGCAGCGGATGCCCTTCCAGCCGCAACCCATCTCTGGGAAACATCCACACACACATTCACACACACACATACTCATACACTACGGACAATTTACCCTACCCAATTCACCTGTACCGCATGTCTTTGGACTGTGGGTGAAACCGGAGCACCCGGAGGAAACCCACGTGTACACAGGGAGAACATGCAAACTCCACACAGAAACGCCAACTGAGCCGAGGCTCGAACCAGCGACCCAGCGATCTTCTTGCTGTGAGGCAACGGCACTACCTACTGCGCCACTGCTTCGCCAATAATATTAATAATAATAATAATTCCTTACATTTTATATAGTGCTTTTCAGGACACTCAAAGCTTTTGATGCATTGAGATATATACATATATGTCTTAATATTCATTAAATATCAATGTCTTTTCAGATTTAAAAGATCATTAAACCAGGGGTCACTAATCTCGGTCCTGGAGGGCCGGTGTCCCTGCAGGGTTTAGCTCCAACTTGCCTCAACACACCTGCCTTTATGTTTTTAGTATACCTAGTAAGACCTTGATTAGCTTGTTCAGGTGTGTTTGATAAGAGTTAGAGCTAATCTCTGTAGGGCACCGGCCCTCCAGGAACAAGTTTGGTGACCCCTGCATTAAACTATGCATTTAACAGAAAAATATCTTGAAAACTGCATTACCCATGATTTTACAAAAGTCTCACCCAATCAGAGGGTGGCATTAAGAACTCTCGAGTGTCAGTTTTCCTACAAAACTGCTAAAGTATATCTACTTTACAACTGTTTATATTTTAATCAACATCCTTTAAATTGGCTTTATAATTCTGTCATTAATCTGATCTTATCATTGGCAGTGCATCAGGTGATAGTAGTTTTTTGTAAATAAAGCCAATAAAGGTCCCGTGAAGTGCTTTGAAATGTACATTTTTATTCGATGTTTGACGTAATCTCAACTGAAAAATGAAGAGAGGGTGGGACTTAGCGTAGCCCCTCCCCTTTAAAAAAAAAGTAGCCAATAGCATTTTGTTTTTTATCACAGCTCTGCAA